TGCCCTCAAGAGCAACCCATGACGTGTTTACAGGCTTGGGCAAGTTTGACAAGTACCAGATCATCATCGAAGAAGGCGCTGAGCATGTCATACAAGCTCGATGTCGTGTCCTACACGGGTTGCAAGACCGTCTGACGGAGAAACTGGACCAAATGGAACATGACAGAATCATTGGTAAGACTGACAAACCAATGGACTGAGTCAACAAAGAAGGATGGCAGCCTCCGTTTGTGTTTAGATCCAAAGGACTTGAGCAGTGTTATCAGACAGGAAAATTTCCAGATCCCCTCATTTGAAGATGTGGTTTCATGCCTGGAGGGAAGAAATATTTCGCAGTCCTGGACCAAAGGGACTCCTACTGGCAACTACCCTTGAGTGAAGAAAGCTCTTACTGACGCACCTTTAATAATCCTTTTGGCTGATACCGCTTCCTATGTATGCCACTTGGAATTTGCTATGTATCTGAGGTGCTGCAGAGGAGAATATACAAAGTATATGGAGACATGCAAGGAGTAGAAGTCATTGCCGACAACATAATCGTCGCTGGGGTACTGAGAAGGAGCATGATACCCTGTTGAAAAAAATGTGATGCAAGGGGCAAGAAAGCAAAATGTGAAGTTCAATCTAAAAAGATCTAGTTTAAGCTCAAACGAGTTGTCCATTGAGACCATCATCAGTGAAGATGGGATCCGTCCTGTTCCAGATAAAGTCAAAGCCATGGTGAAGCTACCACAACCAGCAAGTGAAGAAGACGTTCGAAGACTGATAGACACGGTGGCCCCCTTTAAAGATTTCATCCATGACCTGTCTACAACCATGTTTCCTATTAGGCAACTACGAAAGATGTGGATTTTCAGTGGTTACCAGAACATGAAAAGGCCCTTAATAAGATCAGAGAAAGCGAGCCAGTCCTGCGTTTCTATCTATGACCCCACCAAAAAGGTGACCATACATGCTGATGCCTCCTTCACTGGGCTAGTGGCCTATACCTCACGCGCATTAATGCAAACTGAAGAGCATTGGTTCCAAATTGAAAAGGAGTTACTAGCAGTCACATTTGCTGCAGAGGAGAGTATATAAAGTGTTTGGAGACATGCAAGGAGTGGAAGTCTTTGTTGATGACATGATCATCACTGGGGATAATGAGGAGGAGCATGATCGATTGTTATGGGGCAAGAAAACAAAATGTGATGTTAAATCCTAAAAAGATCCAGTTTAAGCTCAAACGAGTTGTCTATTCAGGGACCATCATCGGTGAGGTTTTGATCTGTCCTGATCCAGCTAAAGACAAAGCCATGGTGGAGCTACCACAACTAGCAAGTAAAGAAGGTTTTCGCACACTGATAGGCTCAGTGACCTTCTTTTAAAGATTTCATCCATGACACATCCACAACCATGTGTTCTATCAGGTAACTACCTAAGAAAGAAGTGGATTTCCAGTGGTTACCAGAACATGAACAGGCGCTTAATAAGATTAAAGAAAGCGAATCAGTCCTGTGTTTCTATGACCCCATCGCCAGCAACACCCACAGAGGGTCAAGTGGCCCACCCAGTGACCATTGCCTCTCCAAGTACTTCTCCAGAGAAAGTCCCCACTGAGACAACATCCCCTGTAGAACTTCCAATGACAACTGCTCAGGCACCCAAAAGGAGAGTTTCAGAGAGAGAAAAACAAAATGGTTGGACGATTATGAACATCGACTTTCTAGAACAATGCTATGGAACTCCAGTATTTTGAGCATTAGAAATGTTATCTGTTAATGTTACCAGTGCCACACTTAAGTTCAGTTCTGTTCATTTAATCATTTTTAAGTTTTAAGTTAAGTTTTTTATGAGCATTGACTTTGTCGAACAATGATATGGAGCTCAAGTATTCTGTGCATTAGAAATATTATGAGTTGTTGTTACCAAGCGACAATTCAGTTCTGTTCATTTAGTATTTATTTCCTTTATTTCAAAGAAAATAAAGGAACAGGGGACTTCACATGTAACGAGGCCTGCCTTGGTAAGGCACTTGAAAAATAAACATGGCTTTATTGGTAAATAAAAAAGACACTCTTTTAATCTATCTGTTGATCCCTCCCTCAAATACTCTCTTTGATGAAAATTGTGAAAGGTTCTTTATTTCTTTTGCAATTTCACAATGCATTCCCACCTGAAGTGTAGCAGAGCAATGAAGACAATGGAACTACTGGTGGAAAGGGAGGAGGCAAAAGTAAGAAAAGTGTAAATAAGAACTTGTTTTGTAGTGTGTTTATAAAATAAGATTCTGGAACAGTGGCAGGCAAAATTTACCTTTAAGGGGTACTGTATTTCAATGGTCTTTTATTAGTATAGTTTCTGGAAAAGAAGTTCGTCACCTCACGCATGCAAATGCCCTCAAAGGCCTCGCTATCCAATCCCCTCGTCCATCACCACATTTCTGTTTCTTGCATTTTCCTAAACTTTGTTTGACCATTTTTTACAATAAGAGAAAAGCCCTGAGCAAGATGATGTACCTGCACCACAAAAAAGCCAAAGAAAACAAGGGAAAAAGGTTCGTTCTTATTCAAATTGATTAACACACTACAGTAAATGTGCTAAAAACGAGTGTATCAGGTTAAATATACACTGAATGGATTTGTGAGGGTAACTATATACAGAATACATGAATACATTACACATGAGACAGCGTTAACTATTTTAAGCAGGGGTAATTTTAAAGTTCTCATGATTTATCGTCTCAGGCTTAGCCCAAATACATGTACCATGTATTCATTACCCATAAAAACATTCTTATAATTTCAGTCAAGACTCTAAAAAAAAAACTGAACAGAAGGCAAAAAATCTCAAGAAACAGAAAGGTGTCATCTTAGACGATCCGACTCCAGACTTAAGGCACACTTCACTATCTGAATCTGAAAAGAGTCTGAGCGACAGTGAACCTAAACATGTGGCCCTCCATATAAGCAAAGCAAACCAGTACAAGATGTCCACTTTGGTGGGAAAGAGCCTATGAAACACAAACCTCCACGCTGCATAAACGTTGCTTGCACAGAGGAAAATGAGGAAAAAGATTTAGGGAATTAAAAAGCTCACCAGAGCACTGCAGCAGCTCAAAGAAAAAGTTCATAAGTATGAAATATTGTACACTTCGCATAAGGACCAATTATAGGCACAGTGCAACATGTATTTATAGAAATTGGTTCCAGGTAACTCTTCAATATATACTTATGCGGACAACATTTTGTTTTCACAGTTATGTATAGAATATATCAACCACTCCTCCATTGGTTAAGTTCCTATAAATTTTAAATAGCATACAGTGTATGTGTCAGTTGTACAAACAGGTTTCATTCTCAAAATGTGGTGTGGTTTTATTCTTCTTAAATGGCCTTGTAAGGAAGAAATTAAGAAAAAGTTGCCAAGTTCTTTTAATAAAGTTCCAAGCACTCGAATAATAATAGATTGCACGGAGATATTTTTGCAAAAGCCAACATCTCCTAGTGCCCAGAGAGCTACATGGAGTAACTATAAACAGGACAATACCATGAAAGCACTGGTGGGAATCACTCCAACAGGTTACTTCTCCTTTGTTTCTAAACTATGGACTGCAAATGTCAGTGACAGATACATCACAGAAAGAAGTGGTCTACTGGACAAACTTGAAGAGGGGGATTCTGTTATGGCCGACAAGGGGTTCAACATCAGAGATCTGCTTACAAGAAAGAAAGTTGCAGTTAATATCCCACCACTTTGCAAAGGTACCTTTCCAATAAAGGGAGCTAATGGGGTAGGGGTGGAAGAGGGTATGCTAAGATCAAAGAGAAGGTCTCCCTGGACAAAGTAACAAAAAAAAAACAGATATAACAGTATCAATAACTTGTTGCTCGTAAAAAGGATCTTTCTAACTAAACAGAAGTTTCTTAGGAATATTTTTTATATTATAGGGTTAAGTTGAACTGCTCAAAGATAAAGGTAGTTTCTACTAACTTCCAAACCTGTTTACATAACAGGGGTGGATCCAGAAAATTCAGAAAGAGCTGGTGTGAGGCAGTGGTTTGCCACTGCCACGCATCCAATAATTTAGTATAGGTTTTGTTTGGAAAAAAGGTTTCCAAAAAAGCAAGTACTTTACTATCAGTACCTTTTGAATTGGCATTTACTTCATTCAAAATCCTTTTTTTCTCCTCTTACACAGGAAAGCAACTTTCAAAAAAGACAGTAAAATCTACCCGTACTATTGGAAGTGTTCGGATCCACATTGAACGTGCTATTGGACGTCTTAAGGATTCTACAAGGGAACTTCCTTCTTCAAATGCTACCCATTGCAGACAATATTCTTAGTGTTTGTGCTGCTCTGTGTAATTTGCTACCACCACTGGCCAAATGACTGACGCATTTGTCCAGAGAGCAGAAAAGCACACCAAGTTATTGTGACGTGGAAGTGATTGCGACTTAGTGTATGTAAATGGTAAATGAAACATGTATTAAACGTATCCAGAGACAGATCAATAAAATTATGTGGTATCTAATCCAGCACAGACAAAAAACACTATTTAAGCACCTTCACTTTTACAATCAGCATCTAACGGCAGTCACTCTATAATGAATTCAGTATGTCATGGTGGAATAGTTCCTGAACTATATCCTCCACGAAGAAGTTTCTCAGCTTTTGGAGCATTTCATTCCACAAATCACTATCAAACTTAAGGTTTACAATCAATATTCCTTTGAGGGTATAAATAACTAGATCACAGCGATGAATCCCTGTTATCCCCATCAGTCCTTAGATTTGGTAGTTCCATTTGGTTTCTTTTTTAATTTATTACTTGCCATCCACAAGCATGAGGTTCTCCTCAGCTGCAACATGTGGAGGGAGATTTCGTTTTGCATACATGCTTTTAACTTCAATTAACTTCTTTTGGCAGCAAGCACAAATCCTTATACCGTCAGGACTGGCTCCCAAGAAGGGCCATAATGTGTTTACAATGAGTCCACTTTTTTCTGTTGACAACTTCTCATGATTTTTGTTCTGTTTTTTTTTTTATGTAAAGACTAAGTGCTCGCTTTTCTTTTTCATGCCCCCATATCAACTGTCGTAGCATGGCATCTTCAGCAATTGGACAGTAATTCATGAGATGTTTAATAGTGTTTCTTCTGTCTGTTCTCTCTCTAAGGTGGCACACAGTGTAAAATGAGGAAGCTGTAATTCTTCCTGCCCTTTGTTCAAACCAAAATTGAGACTGGGATTGACAGACAGTTTTCTTGTTGATCATTTCTGCTTGCTCTTCATTAAATGGAATAGCCTCAAGGAATTCAATTGCCAGTTCTTTAGAAACTGTAGGCATCACTTTTTCAGTATTAACAGAAACAAACACTTTGGCGTAATCATTCATTGAATATACATGTACACTTTGAACACTTTCTTCTTTACAGGCATTAACATCACTGCTGATGAAAGCTCTGACTTCTTCCTCTGTTTGCCTGGGTCCTTTAGTTGAAGATAAAAAAAGGCAGAGCTGAAGAGCTAGGACATGTTTCCAGCAACCCAGCTTTAAAATCTTGTTCCAGTTCAGACACATTATAAGGAATACAAATTGGATTAAAAGCTCTTGGGTGAATTGGGTCTTTCAATGTCACACCGTAACTAACACTCGTTTGAAGGTCCTGAATGGGCAAACTTCCCTCATTTCTCTTTCCTCTATTTTTCTGCATGCACTGTCCTGATGTACATGATTGGAGATCACTGAATCTCACATTTACTTCTAGATCAAACAATGCTGCAGCTATGTGACGGCAACCTTCATCTGCCCTGTTTAAAGGAGGACCAATATAACAAATATGTATCTCACATTGTTCACACTGATAGACTGTACGGTAGCCTATAAGTTCAGTTACTAGGCTCACAGATTCTGACTTTGAACTACTGTTTTAATACTTAGTGCTGAAGTCATAAATGATCCAGAAGGTTTGAGATTTAAAATAATGCATCCATTGATTTAGATCTTCAATTCAGGAGGCATCTACTTTTTACTTATGTTACAACTGCTACAAAGGAAATATAAACCTTCGAATCTGAATAAAACAAAACCTGTCACAGAGAAAAACAACTGAAAAGACCAAGCGTTTTGATTCTCCAACGTATGTTTATGGAATACCAAGCACATAGACAGGCTTCAGAAATCAAAAGAAGAAAATACATACCCTCCTTTGCATAAGCAGTATGCTAAATTGACACTTCCATCCTTCTTTAAAATGAAAAACCCTCTGTTTGTTGCTGAACCATCATCAGTCTTGGATTTTTCAGTTGGCTTTACAGCAAACTTAAAATAACTGTAATTACTATTGGGTTAAGGTGGGTGATACCAAAGTTCTTCCACATGTCCATCAAAAAATAATTTGCACCCAAATAGAGATTTGTATTTTTTTAGGCTTTCGCTGTTGTATACGGGATCTTTTCCCACCAGGTAATTAAAAAGATCGGGGAATCTTAAGTCCGGTACGTTGGTAAAGTTTTTGGTCCATTGGGAAAAAACACGGTTTTTGTTATCCAATGGATTTGCGAGATCTCCCTCATCGGTTTTCAGTTGCTCTTTCATAGAAATTCTTGGATCGACTGGTGCTTCCTCTTCAGCAATTTTTGGGCCTTTCATGTCCTCAATTTTCTCACAAAGTTCTACAAGTTCAACCTTAGGTTTTTTGCTGAGCTTTGAATGCCCCTTTGTTTTAAGTATTCTTTTAACCAAGGAACCGGTTTACAGTGAAAACTGCCTATAGTAGAGTCAGCCATCTTGTGTCCTCTAAGCCTCGCTTACATGCAACTACCTCGTTCTCAGGAGTGCACGGTCAAAAATATTGAAAGGACCCTATTGAAAAAGCATCACATGCTTTTTTGAGGGTTACATGTGAAAACAGTGGAAACCCGCCTTATGGCCACCCCCGTAATACGGTCACCTCGTTATTACAGCCACTTTTTCCAGCCCGGCAAAACAGTTATACATTGTCTTATTAAAAAACCCTGTTAATACGGTCAACTGCTACATTTTAAAATGCCAATCACCAGAATCTTTTATAACTTTATTCCATTCATACGGCTACTCATACCAAGTCTAGAAAATTGAATTGCCTGTGACATCTTCATAAGCACGGCCTATTCTTGTATTGCTTCTATAGACTACAGTACACTAGGAATAGATTTGTGGCAGTTTTTATCTGATTTTTAGAAGTGTTTTATACACTGAAGGAAAGTTTAAAGTAGTTTTTATAATTACTGTACGCAATATCTACTTATTGCGATTATTGATTCCACAGAACAGTTGTTTAAGAAGTGCGACCGCAATGTACGGTGTATTTGTCATTACAGCCCTCAAGTCATGAAATTAGTTGAGCCTCTCCCGGTAATATGGTCATCCCGTCAACAGTCTTAACACAGCCAAATTATGTTGAGCCATTAGTGACCCTATTAACGGAGTTCTACTGTACTATGAGAAAGATCATACGAGGCCCCCGTGTTTACAAACCTGCCATGTGGGATTCAGTGCCTTTGTTGGTCTCAATCGCTTTTAATTGCATGTTGTAATGGTTTGACTGTGAGAGAGTATAATGCAAACTCAGTAGAGGCAGAAGGACAGTGTAAACAGTCATAAAAGCGAGAAGGTAGAATGAAATCAGCGGTGATGTTTGCAAATCAGTGTGAGGAAATTGTCTGAAACTGGGATACTAACATTACCAGCACCGCGAACTGCTAAAAATATGCAATATTCAATTATGAAATCATCATATGCCACCCAGGTTAACATAATGCAGTGCCCTTTCCTTACATAAACCTACTCAGTATCAGACTCCAAGAGTGAGACATTGGTGTCTCACCCTGAATTTTCATGTGGCTGCTTTTCTCGTGGCAGTGCAAGTGGCTCAACGAGGAAAAAGACCTTTCTAGTAATGCAGTTAAGGGCTTAGCCATAGTCTTTCCCAACTTATTCAAAATGCTGCGTATTTCAAGTACGTTACAAATTACATCAGCAGAACGTGAGCAATGTACGATATAGCACATTGTGCAGACCTGAAAAGTACATGGCAGCGACCATGACTGAAGAGCAAGAGGCCGCTGCACTTGCTCTGATGAACATCCTTTGTATCACGCAAAATGGCATCACGCAAGTCCATCACTTGACACCTTTGCGCAGAAGCATCCATCATGTCTCCTTTTTGCTAATATCCTAACTGGTTAAACGGCATATCACAAGTCTACAGAGTGTGTTTAATGTATTCAACAATTATCAACATGTACATTTTCAGTCTATCACACTATCTGTTCACCGAAAGCAGAAAAATGTTAGCTTCATTTATAATTTGGCACTGTTATTGGAAATCTGCGCTCAGAGTCACAAAACGGAATTTCTGAGGAAACATTTCCCAGGGGAGAATGCCTTATACTCCATGCCCTCTGAAGCTCGGTTGTCAATCTAGACAAAAGTACCACATTAGGAACCCCTCTATGCTAAAATACTAGCCACGCCTCTGATATTTGACACAGTGAATGATGTGTCAGGGTTCGAAGGATAAAACGCGGTAAGACCACAATTCCTTTCATACCACAATGTGACAGATCCAAAAGTTGAAAAGTCTTTCTTCATCGTGGCATTTTCGTCGGTAGTTTCATGTGAAAAAAACTCATCATGTCAATTGCAGAGGAAGAAAGAGAGGGTAAAGGATCCAATGAGCCTACGAGAGAACAGTGTTTGCTTGCTGGAACAGGGTGTTTGTATAAACTGGCAGCAGAGAAAGCTTGTCATTGCTGGAGTTTTATGTTGGTAGGCAATTGCACTGGAAAATTGTACCACTTGACCGTAAACCATGGCCTACACAATGTCGCCAAAAAATTTGGCATACAAAAATTTACTGTAGAAATCAGCATACACCATTGCAAGAAGGAACCGCAATTTCCAAATGGTAAGAGTGATCGTGTGTAACATGCAAGATGAAAGGCTGATTTACTCTGATTTTCTCAAAGTCAGGAAAGAACACAAATTGATTGGAGAGTACTATTTAACGAACGCTATTTGATGAAAAATATGTTTCTAATATTATCTGTGTGATCATGATAGACTGGAAGCAAATCTTGTAAATTCCCCATTAGCCCGAGCGGCCTGGCAATAAAAAAGCACATGTTCAGAGAGTTGTGTTCTGTTCGCTGTGTAGTATGTTTCTCAGACGTTTTTGCCTGCTTTTCGCTGAGGTTGTGGCCCTTTTCCCATCAGGACCAACAGGCAAGTTACATAAGCAGCATGAGTAGCGCTATTTAAGAATGATTTGGAAACTAAAACGTGACTACTAACAGCGTACATATCGCATAACAACAACTTTCTCACATGTAGTGATCTCTTTCTTCACAAAATGCATATTTTGTGCAAGGAATTCTAGAGTATGACATTCCCTATGTTGAAGTTGAAGAACCAGGAAACGTGTCCAAGACAGTAACGTTGTTCTTATTTGATTTTGTATTCCTGGCTTACAAATATATCTCTTGGCCGGACATGTGCAGACGACATTTGACGAAGACTAACACTAGAACCAGATAGTTGCGGTAAAAAATATCTTCCACTTGAGACACTGTCTACAGTCAAAGGGTGCCATTGGATTTTTCCAATGTCTAGGTAGGAAAAAAGCTTAAAACCTAAATCAAGCAATATATATATATCAGTAATTTGGGGTTTATAAATGATGCAGTTAAAAAGTAGTAAGTAGGGACTTAAAGCAACGAAAACGGGGACGGCGACGGGGACTCCAAAACCCGCAAAAAGACTGGGGAGAGAACGCTGTTGTTGCGGGAATTTCTAAACAGTTAAGCAGCCATTACAAAATGCCGCTAATGATGTCTTTTAAAGAAGTTCGAAATCAACTTTTGATTAGCCACGATGATGGTGCGATAAACGATGAGGAACTTCTACTCATGTATGATATAAACAGGTCCAATAATCTCGATCTTCCATACAATTCTTATCCTGGTTTTGACTTCAATGATTTGGAAGACAACGAGTGCCTTTCAGAGTTTCACTTATACAAGAACGACTTACTATTTCTGGCTGAAGTATTGGGGATTCCTGAGGTAGTGCAGTGCTATCAAAGAAGTATCTGTAGCGGATTGGAGGCTCTTTGCATTTTTCTAAAGAGACAGCTATCCTTCTCGATATTCAGACATGATAGCTCGCTTTGGGAAACCTGTTCCAGTGTTGTGCATGATAAACAACTACATGATCGACATCTACCAGGCACACAGTCACAGAATTTTGGAGTGGAATGATACCATCCTATACCCTCATTCACTGGAAATATACAGTAATGCCATAACAGCTAAGGGATCCCCCTGGGATAACGGTCCCCCTGGGATAACAGTTTTGGCTTTATTGATGGGACGGTTAGACCAATAAGCAAGCCCGGCCAAAATAAGCGCATTGTCTACAATGGGCACAAAAAAGTTCATGGTGCAAAATTCCAATCTGTGGTATTACCAAATGGAATTATTGCAAATATGTATGGACCAATCGGTAAGGGAAATGGAATATTAAATTACCCTTCAGTAAAAGACCTGAAAATTTTTTAATCTAAATGTTAATTTGTCTTTTTTGTTTTTTATAGAGGGCAGACAACACGACTCTGCTATGCTAGCAGACTCCAATCTTCTTCAAGATATGCAACATTATGCTTTTTCACCTGGGCCAGCGGGTCATCCACTGTGTGTTTATGGAGACCTCACGTACCCTTTGAGGGTGCACCTCCAGACCCCTTTTAGAAACATGATACTCACCCCGTGGATGGTAAATTTTAATAAGACTATGAGCTCTGTGAGAGTCTCTGTAGAATGGCTATTTGGAGACATAGTTGAGTACTTAAAGTTTGTAGATTTCAAAAAGAACCTCAAGATTAGACTTTCTTCAAGAAGAAGCCTTTGGGCATCGCTTTTCGGAATCTTTGAAGTTGCTCGTCCTCGTCTTGTCCATATTTTTCCATACAGTGTCTAAACCCCCTTTTCCACGTTTGATACGTTCTTCAACTTCCATCCCAGTTCGGAACTGTCAACCGCTCTAGGCTGCTAGGTTTTGTTCCCATTGCAACGGCCATTTTGTCAACTGCAGAGGTCATCGTTTTCAAGGTTTCTGTGTGGTCAGGACCTTTTGGAAGAGCCTTTTCGCTTTGATATGCTGCAAATTTCAAGGTGATTTGGAGGAAATCAGCTTTGACTTTGTCCCCGAGTTTTCGGTTTGTTAACACCAATTCATCCTCCGATGAAGCGCCTTCTTCAATTAACTTGTCTAAGATCGTCTCTTGCTGCTTTTTAACAGATCTGTACTTTGATTCCACTAAATTCAACACTGCTTCGAGTCTTTCAAGTCCCGGTTTTACTGCAAAAATCGCTTCAAATTCTTCCATCAACTCATTAAGAATTCCAACGGCATTGTTCATTTTTCCCGTGAGGGTTTTTACATCAACTTTCGGCGGCATTGCAAAGTGAAGGTGTAAATTGAAATAATTTCTAGAACTGTCAGTCGCTCGCTTTATGGCAGTCGGTTGTTCTGGAAAAATGATGCGTTTCACTCGTGAATTTAAATGACTGTAATGATTCCAAGATCGGTCGGTCACTTGTTTTGCTGTCAGTTGTTCTTGGAGGCCGGTTGTTTTACCACTATGCTGTCCTTCGGGATCCTGCAGTTGATAGTGTAACCTTCGATCCAATAGAATTTTTGACTGATTCGCGCTTACGTAGCGAAGCGTTTCTTAAATTTGAAGGCTACAACGATGTACAGATAACCACTTTATTTCTGAACTGGTTGCCAACGGTAACTTAATCGGCAACAGTCACACTGCAAAGCAAATGAAAGATTTGCGTTTTAAGTATGAAATTGCACTTAAAGGCTGAAATATTCGCAGCAAAATGCTGCTTACAATTCTGTTGGGTAATCCACACATCTTAACACGGCTCTCTACATTATCTTTCAACGGTTGTGTCCGGATGATTGCAAGGTGAGTCTAATTAAAAATATATTACGCCTATTTATACAAAAATGCTAATTCGTCGCCAGGTCCTTCGCGACTGCATTTTTGGCGCCAAATCGGTAGCTACACAAGCGCAAATCACTCCGCCCGAGTGCGGAAATTAAGAGCTTACAGTAGCTCTAATTGAGCAACGGTTTATCATTTAAGACCGGAGAATCATGCAATTGTTCATTGTTCTTGAATTAATTTAAACTAGAGTAGTCCTGCATTGAGCTCTTCCTTTGTCGCAATCAAACACAGTTTGTGAATAGGTCTGTCGTACTCTCCGTCTCTTGTTTTGATTCTCACTTTTCGGACAAGTCTGTCGTTTCCAGGATATGTGCCTACAATACGCGCCATTTTCCATTCACATCTTTTGTGTTTGGGATCCAGCTCCAATACAAGATCACCGATCTGGGTGTTATCTCGCACGCGAAACCACTTGTTCCTCGGTAACAAGTTTGGGGCGAAATACTTCATCCAGCTCCTCCAGAAATCAGCAACTCTGTTTTGGGTGCTCCTGAGTAATTGTCGCGGATTGGTTCTTTCCTCTGGTTCTGGTTGTGGTGGTGGATTGTAGTGGCCTAGAAGTAGGTCGTTTGGAGTGATCGGTGGGGCCTCCCAGATATCGTCGGAACTGGGGTACAGCGGTCGTCCGTTGACCATGTACGTGATTTCTGACAAAATTGTTCTCCATTGTTCCTCGGAGTAGGCTTGGTTCTTGCAAGTGGCATTAAATGCTTGTCTGACTGACTTAATTAGGGTTTCAACAACTCCGTTTTGGTGACTCGCATGAGGTGTATTCCATTCCCATCTGAGCTCGCAGCTAAATTTATTACAGAGAACACTCTTTACCCCAGGAATATCCCAGTTCTGTGTGATTTCCTTTAGGTAACCTTGGGCACCCACGAAATTTGTAACACGGTCTGACCAGCAAACATTAGGGTGTCCGCGTAGGCGGGCAAACTATCGAAAGGCCATTAAGAATGCGTCTGAAGTTTTATTGGTGACCAGCTCAAGATGAATCGCACGTGATGTCATGCAAGCGAAGATGATCACTTGTGCCTCTTTCAGAGTTTTGCGGCCGAGCTTGATCTGTACTGGCCCAAACACGTCCATAGCAGTGTTTGAGAATGCCGGGAAGCCAGCTGCTACTCTTAGGTTTGGAATCTGTCCCACGAGCTGGTTGAGAGGCCTTTTCCGTAGTTTTCTGCATGACACACTTTGAGGTGACGGTCTTAGCCATTCTGCGGAGTCCAATGATCCAGAATCTTTTTCTGGCCTCGTGGATTAAACTCTTATAGCCACAATGCCCACGTCGTTCGTGGAGGTCACACAGATGCAAGATCACAAAAGGGTGGTCTTTTTGCAAGATAATAGGCTTTCTCAACTCTTCCGGGAGACATCTGATATCTTCAAGTCGACCATGCGCACGAAAAAGGCCATCTTCATCCCTCTTTGCTACCAGTTTCTTATCCAAGCTGTCTTCGTTGACGTAAAATTGACTCCACTTCAGAAGATGGGTCTCGGCAGCCTTCAGTTCCTGAGCTGAAAGCGACCGACGTAGGCTAGAGTTCTCCGTATCTTGGAGTACGTAGAACACGTTTTCAGCAAGTGTAAAAGGATAGGATTTTCTTCAGATCCAGGTTGATCTAGTTCAGGACATACTTCCGCCGCGACACTGTGATGTTTACCGGCTTTCTCCTCTTTCCGAAATGTTTTCCTCTCTCTTAAAGCGTCGAGGTCGTCCACATGAGTGTTAACTCGGGTGTGGTCTTGAGCACTGGGCCACTTTTCTTCTGGCAACTCTAGGAAGGATGGTCCCTCTGACCACTTCATGAGATGATTAAGATGGATTCCTCTCGTTAGAGCATCTGCAGGGTTGTTGTTAGACTTGATGTAGCATATTGGGTCTGCCCCAATCATCTCTTGAATTTCAGCCACTCTAGCAGATACGAAAGGCCTGACTTCCTGTGGTGGCGTTCTGACCCAGGACAAAACGGTTGATGAATCAATCCAGAAGAATCTTTCCCAGTCCTGGGCTTTTGCGAACTCCAATGCTTTTACACATGTAACGTACATGCGTGCAAGTGCTAAACAGCCCAACAATTCTAATCTCGGGATGCTCTTCTTCTTCAGAGGTGCGACGAAAGCCTTTACCATGACTGGAACACAATGATAGTCTCCGCCAGCAAGTTTCCACCGTAGGAAGATGACCGCACCATAAGCCTGCTCACCACCATCGGAGAATCCATGAATTTGAGGCATGCCCACTGTGTTGTTTGGTTTTAGCTTGTGGTCAAACTGAAATGACAGGAGATCATTTATGGACTGGACATTCGCTAACCATGTTTGCTGAATACTCTCGGGAAGGATGTCGTCCCAGCTGTAACCTGAACTCCATAATCCCTGCAAGTCAATTCTGTACTTGATAGTAACGGGTGAAACAAGTCCGATAGGATCCCAGAGTTGAGCGAGAAACTTCAGACAGCTTCTTTTGGAGAAGCCCTCCAGTAGGCCAACCACGTTTTCTTTCTTGA